CACGTTTTTATCTGTAATTATAAATTATTAAACTTTTGTAAACTCGGTGATAACATCGGAATGTTTGTACAAAAACACAAAACATCATAATATACTTTTATGCAATTCGTTTGTCGTATCTTATTAAAATCTTTATGAAAATAAATATTCAATTTAGGTTTTCGTTTTTATTTGCTTAGTTTGACTTTATAACTAATTTTCACATCGACAACGAGTGTGTTAAAAAAAATCGATCGAAAGTCCATGGAGTTAGGTACTAAACACCAAGTAAGCATATTCGTATGTTGTAACTTTTTTGAATAAAACAGTATGTTAAATGTTCGATTTCCTGAGATATTGAATTCGTTGTTAACGATAGGGTTCACGTTATATTATTGTATGAATTTCAAAAAGTTTTTATGTGGGTACATAATAAAAATAAAGGTAGGATTTAGAGCGGAGCTTTGCCGACCAACGACAAACGTGATATATAGAACGTGGATTAATATGAGTTGAAAGCAAAAAAAAAAAATGAATTTCATATAAGTACAAGCATAAAATACCATAAAAATAAAAATGGACTACACCGATGAATATTAAAAACATGGTGAAAGTCTGATGGGTTCAAAGAAATACATTCGGAATATGAATAACAAATATAGCCAAGTATACAATATTTTAAGAAATAATGTTTACAGTGAATGAATTGCGTTTTTCCGAACCGTTTGAAAAGGCGATAGCTTATGTGTTTGGGAATTCGGCGTAAATCTAGGAATTAGCTTTGACATTTTTAAAGAAAGCTTTTAAAGTTCCAACTGCGTATCTTTTTGTTTGTTTGCTTTTGCTTTCGTACACAGTACTTGATGAGTTTCAATGGTAGAATACCTGTAAACTTTTGAAAAGTCCCTATTTATAACATTTAAATTGTTTTAATATTTATATTAAAATCAACCGCGACACGTTCAAATGTTGAACTACAACAAGACGTCAGAAGATAAAAAAATTAATTACATACAGCTAAAAACTCGTGTGCAGAAAAAAACTAAAAAAAAATTATAAGAACAATTTATTAATTTATTAAACAAACAAATGTAAAACATTGTTTGTACGTTCAGATTTTCCCTCATTTTGTTTTTAAACTAATATTTCGTATGTGCAAACTTCTATACTTTGGTAGAAGTTAGGGAACACCAGTCAAAACTAATTTTTTATACTTTACTAAAGGGATATAGTTAAAACATAGTATTTGTCCATATTTTTTTAGTTTTCTATAGACTGGGTAGGTCGAGTAAGTTAAGTGAAAAATGTAAAAAGTGTACCATTGAACTGTCTATTCTCGAAGTTCTAACTTGTGATGAGTGGCACACAATGTTTTTATTTCGCTGTTTTCTTTTAATTTTACTTTTATTAGATTTCGGTGATTTCTTTAAGTCTACCGAGAACTAACATATTACTTTGGAATATATTATTTTCCACGAATTATAGTAGTTCTGGTGGAAACGCATGAAGAACCCGTTAAAAGAACTGTGTTCGTCATGACTATACAATACCAAATTTTCACTTACTGATGTATTTTCAGTGATTAAATTTGAATAAAACAACATTATTCGATTAACAGAGAGATTTTTTTTTTGTAGTCAAGCTATACATACCAATTTTTTTTTATATAACTCTACCGGCTTTGAAAGCCCAACGCTGCCATCATGAGATGGGTTTTTTTTAGACTAAATTTACCTTTTAAATTTGTGCTTCGACTCTTTTGTTCGCGTTTGGACCGATGTGTTAGAGTACCTAAAGCTTGCAGTCTGTTACCCCTTTCAAGTTGACGTTAGTTGGCAAAAAGGTAACGTGGGGCCAACAGAAACAAAATCTAGACACATACGTTATATCTATCTATCTATCTATGTTCTATATTATATGAGTACACCACAATGGGGCCATTACGGGATTAGAGTATAAGACGCGCGTTGCTGAGAAGAGAAGGGTTGTCGTGCGTGACCGGAAACGGTGTGCGGAAAAGAACATCGACGACGAAAACCGAATGGACGAATAAGATACCACCGAACAAAATCACACGGCTTAATATGTTTGCCACATTGTGCTCAGCATGTGTGTGTGTGTCGACCTTTTTACTGTCATTCAATAACGCGCGTTGTCTTGGCGTTGTTTTCAAGACTTCCGTAATGGGCACATAATAAAAGTTGGGGCATCACGGTCATTATATAATGTATAATATATATATATATATATGTTTACGGTGAAATGTACTTTTGGGAAAATGTCTAAAATACTACTCGGCCTTTGTGGTTATTTTTTTTTTTTTACGAGTTCATAATGTCTGCGGCAAGTCGATGCTCGTCGATTTTTTCCCAAATGTAATACCTACCCAAAAAGCACGGACACGTTGTTCAAAAGGCACTTCCGCCTCGTCCCTTAACGTCATATTAAATTCGAAAGAGATATTAAGGAATTTCTAAAAAGCTTTTTCTCTCTCGGCCGTTTCCTTCGGAATGTCTCGTGTCATCTTTTATTCTAACATTTCTCTCGCGTACATGTATTTCAGTGGCCGATCAGCTACAACCTAAATCGCCTAACAGAAAATTGTACTTCTCCTATCGGTCCTGAAGTCCGGTTAGGAAGGACCGCGTTCGGTTAACAGTAATTGAACGTCTCAGTCTGACAGCAACGGTCGATTCTATATTATATACTATAAAACGAAACTCGTCCAAAGAAACGACGAATAACGACTAGGGAAATACCATTACGGATTATCCGTCCGGATGAAACGTTGCACATGAATCTATTTCCATAAAGCCAGCACTGAATTATTGTCCTTATGTACTGCGTTTTCTCGTCCAAATTATTTTCACTAATTAATCATTATTATTGTCGTAGAGGAAACAGAAACCCCAGTCGATAATACATATAGTATCAACGCAGTACTTGGAAAACAATTTTCTAATACTTTACCTTCTGAGCCGCTGTTCGATTAAATCCCCGCGTCGGTCGTCAGCGCTCATTAAGAGTTTCCTTTGATAATGATGTTTTCTTCCTCCAAAATGTCTGTTCGGTTTCGTGAAATGCGCTAAATAGAATAAGTCTTCTTGATATCAATCATTACCGGTTAGATTTAGCAGGGTATCTGTTTTTTTCTTACAACTAAACCCACTCTATAATAATTTTTTATTTATATTTCTGAAGTGAAACTTCGGAGGGATTCAAATCGCAGACAATAATCAAACGTAACGGCCAATGGACGAATTATAATCCTCATAAAGTATTGAACGTTGATGGAAATTCTTTAGACACGCACTAATGTTTATTTTCAACAAAAGGGTGAATTGTTTTGGAATGTCGTAAAAAGAACGAGGAAAATGGTTACCTAAGTAAATCGAATAAGAGTAATCAGTGTAAAGGGATTTAGAGGTAGTATAGTAGACAGTAAAAAAAAAAAATGAGGATCAAAATATCAAAGATCTATAACTGTCAAGGGTGACTCTTGGAGAATGAAAAGTCGCTGACATTGTAGAAGAATGAAGAATCAGGCCAGGGGAGAGGATAAAGATTTGTACTATTACGTTTTGTGCGTTTGTAAGCGAAACGAACAAAATATGAATTTGCTAAGGGATTTCATGTCGTCGTCGGCATTATACTTCAGAATAATTCCGTGAAATGCTTTCAATCCGAATAGAATTAATTATCTTACCATATCATATACATTCCGTTTATTTGTTTAAATTCAATGATGCGACAGACGACGTTGCACTACTCACAAACAGGCATCCGATTCGCAGACAGCTCCTCCCGGTACTCGTTATTATTTTCTTTAGGGCAGCTGAATTTACAAAATACTAAAAGCTTATCCTTTTTTTACAAAAACGTATAATAGGATAATTGGGTGTACCTACCGTTTGTTGCGTTTTTTATATTCTAAACTTTGTGCATTTCTATCTTTATTGTTGGCGTTATTATGTATTGTCCGAATAAAAGTAATGAATTTTAGAACGCTCACTGTTAATAAGGTATAGAATATCTTTAGGAAAAGTACACTAGTTAAGCTAAATCTAGCTATTACGCTAATTATAACATTTTTAATTGCCAATATAATTAATATTCTATCATTTGTCTGTACCCACTGAACCGTAGAAACAAACAAAACCTCAGCATATTCATATTTTTCGTACAGGTCCCCATTATAAATGATAGTCAAAACTACATTAGATAATGTAGCAATGGAATAACAAAAAATAGCCATCGGACATTACAACCTAATATCTGTAGATAGCATGGTACACAATAATATATACGTATAGTATTTATTGTTATCCCATTGGCGAAATAATAATAAAGTACTGCGTTTTGAAATATAACTTGTGGGTGTATACATATATATGTACTTGTATTAGTATCGTATAATATATTATTATGTTATACGCATGAATAAATGAACAGTAAATCTCTGTTATGTGACAATCGATCGTTTGTGAACGGGATGTGGTTACCGCAGTAATCCCGCGTGGCTATGGATGCGGTTCTGATCATTTACTACAATATTATGCTACAAGTTTTACTCAAAAGCTCGTACAGTCGGGTACTCGTCTACTACGTACTATGGCCAAATTGAATTTTTACACAGGAAGTGATGTGTTAACCTTAAATTAATCATTATCGTTTTTTTTATTTATCAAAAAAAAATAAGAAGAAAAATGGTTTGACGAATTATATTGTATATATATATATATATATACATACATCTTTTTTTTACAGTGACAATAAATTGTGTGGTACTAGATTTTTGTTAATTCCCTCGAGGGTAAAGGGTTACGCCCGCACTGGTTGATTTATTTCATACCTACATGATATCAGATTAATAGTATGAGTGGAAAATACAAAAAACTTAAACCCGATAAGCTCCAGATATAATACATATATGTATATGTCCTCGAACGCTAATTTAATAATTATACCCGCCTTTTTCCTCTTTAGCCAGTAATGTTTTAATTGTTGAAATCTGTTAACAGGGAAAATGAACCCAACATTCGCTGTCCTAACGACTTTGACTTTGACGTTGTTGCCATTTGCCCTGTCCACCAGGTTAGTAATATTGCCAAAAGAACATCCAAAAAAGTGTCTCAAAAAAAAAAAAAAAAATGAATTTTTTTATCGTGTAATTATGGTTACAGCAATCTTGTCTACGTCTCGGTGATCCATGGCAATGATCAAGGATCGGTCCTGTACAGGACCATGGACAGGGCCATGCCTCCGTCGGTGCGGGTCCTATATGCAAAGCTCCCCACCAACAAATTCAGCGTGGATGCATTAGAAGCAGTGCTAAACTTGTGGGCAAACAAAACCATCGTAGCGTGCCTGTTACTGATACCAGAGCCCATCGGATTGCTACCAGCTCTAACCGCTTCCAAGTATCGAATACCAGTGTTATGGTTACCGGCTTTGTCTCGTGTAGATCAGGTATGACATTTACAACTTAAATAGTTCATGAATATAAAAGATAATTTAAAGGCCATCTTCGGTGTTAGTTGCTGTTAAACGCGACTTCACGGTTGACAGTTTTGCTGTTGATGTCATATCTAAAACTATCTTAAGTCGGATCTTGTAACGAGAGCTTAAGCCGTCTCGTTTGCAGCCCAAAACTTTTACTAAAGTTCTATTACATTCAGTTTATTTTTACGTTTTATAAAATTGTAATTTTAAAAACTACTTTTAATGTAAACAAAATATTAGTGATAACAAGCTTTTATTTTGAACAACGTTCATTAGAAATCTTTTTATGTGTAACTTGAGTAAATGGAGTACAGATTAGGAAAGTCTTAGTCGGCATTAATATTTTTTGTTTAAAACAACGTTAGATGAAATACGAGGTTCGACGTCTATTTGGATTGGAGTTTTGATGTGTACGAGCAACACTATATTTTACACCAAATTGCTAATAATAATAATTTGAATCCACTGTAATCCCTACCGTCTCGCGTGAGCGGTCTGTCGGATCAACTAGGATTTCCGTTTCGGTGTTTCAATTGAGATACCCACAACTCTGAGAAGGAAGTAAGAAAGTACCCCGATGAAACCTGCAAGCCGGTCATTGAACTTCGCTATACGGCATCCTTGAGGTATTCGTCATTCCTGCACAGAAATCTTTGGGGATTCCTCAACGGTTCTTGGTACAACTTAACGAACCGCGTGTTTCGGTCGTGGAGTCAAAGTCGATACCGGGTATGCTATATTAAGCGACTTTGCTGCCTAATATAATATTATAACACCTGAACTCGTTCACCGTACCTACCTACTCGCTATGAATAAACACGCCATTCCGGTAAATTTATACTCATCGGAGTGGGAGCCGTTGAAAGTGAGAGGAAAGGGGAAGGGAGTGTAGGGGAAGAAGAGAACGTTCTCTAAGATGTGTTTATATATTTATTAATCGCGTTTCACTGTAATGTACTCTGATGTATTAGCTCTGAGGAATTTCGTATAATCGGATACCGTACACGTGTTCTAGTTGCCCATACTGTCGGCGGATCGCATCAATAACCATGATTCACGGCTGAAAGTTCCTTTGTATTGCGTAGGTATAATAGTATAATGCTTGTACTAATAGATTAACGCACAGTAATAATATTGGCTGGTGCGTAGATACTTGATTGTATAATATATGATATCGTTATACTAAACTAGCGGTCGGGTAAAACTAAATTGGTGGGCTTAATTGCGATTCGGTACACACAGCAAACGCTACTGTTCTAGCCCACTCGGTATCAAGTTATACCATTGAAAAATATGTTAGGTACTCGCGCATTAGGGTGCAATAAAAAAAAAATGTAATAGTACGATAGTCGATTTTGGATTCTACCCAGGAAATCTTACGGTAAGCATATAATAGCTATGTATTAGCTATTATAAGCTATTAGATATTATGGAGAAACCCCTTATTTCCACCCTCCATTCAAAATTTAATCAAAGGTACTTTTCGCAATACGGGTCGACAGTAATAAAATTGCTTCGTGTTTTCAAATTATTATTATCTGATACTTTTTTTTTTAATAATTGCGATTCGTTAGAGTTGAATTAACTTAATTATTACACACCGATGACCATTAATCATTGCACAGAGAATAATATATTATTAGTCTTTACGGGGAAAACAACGTTCATTTTGTTGTTCATTTTAGGTCGTTCAATTGTCGCATTACACACAACGATAGGTTTTTATTTTTTGTGTTCGAATTTGACGTGGTACTAAGAATCGCTTAGTTCGATCAGCGTCAATGTATTGATCTGAAATAGTAAACAAATAATGTGAAAATAACAAAATATATGAAATCAAACGAAAAATAAAGTTTGCTCTTTCTCCTTAAACTTCCTTGAAAACCTAATAATTTCACAGAAAAATTTAAACCTGGCGGAGGAAACGAAAAAAAGCACAGTCCCCTCCCCTCATTTATTTAGGGAACTTATTTAGGGAAAGCCACAAAACAAGGACGAAATAATATAGTTATTATCGATGCGTTAATGCCAAAAGAAGCGTTGGGTTTGCGGTGATTATCATTTATCAACAGTATGGTCGACAAATTCAGATTACCAGCACTAAAAAGCATCTTAACGCTTAATCTCTCAAAAGAGCGATAAAACTAGTATGCTACTCTACACATTAAACTAGGACTACAATGTCTTAAACGTATTGACCAACTCACATAGCACAATAAAAAAGTTTTATAACCCGAAAAACCCAAATCAAATAACTACTAATATCCATGACCTTTTTAAAATTTTAAACAAACATAATATAACTTTAACATGGAAACCAAGCCACGTTAGATAGATGGAAACGAAAGAAAATATTTATAACCCAAACAAGCAATCAGTGACAATACTATTGAGAGTTAAAACTATAAAAATTAATTAAAAAAAGTTCTAATAAATGTATATGGCGTAAGGAATGCCACTTACTCAGAGAGAATAAGTTAAAAAATGATCCCGACGAATGTCTCAACAACGAGCCATTAAACATCCATGTGTTAACAATAAAATTTATCAACGCCACAAATGTGTATACAAATATTTAGAAAAAGAAATCAATTACAATTTATATTCAACCCCTTAATTTTATATACTAAATGTAGTTTACAACAACCCATTTAAGATCAAGGCTAAATTTCTATAATAAGAACAAATAAAATGATCTTCTTATTTTTCAACTACTTACAAAAATTGAACTTAAAAACATTTTTCTTATTAAAGATTCATCTTTGATACGCTATAGCTTTGGTAAACCGTAACTTCCGACAAAGTTTTGTATATAACTCTCAGCTTGAAATCAGTCAAAGGAACCTCAGGTTTTTTTGGAGGGTTCTTAAGACATAGAAACTGCCGGTATAAGTACTCTAAGAAAATATCATTAATCCTTTTCCGTTAGAAAGTTGGAATTTTCTTTTTTGTTTCGACTCTCGAGTTTAGGGTTTGGTCAAAAAAAAAGTGTTTACCTAATACCTACAGAAATAATTAATTGTAAATAAATAAACAAACAAATTTAGTAGGTAGTCATATTTTTTATTAAATAAAAACTAAAAAGACAGTTTTTTAAAAAATACACTATTTTTATACAGTGATTAAGATAACATGCAGATATGAATCGTAGAAGCTCTTTCGGTCCTACTAATTCCTATGTATAAATATTCTCAACTGTGGTGAATTTTTTTATTATTTTTTTAAATTACATTACGTTTGCCGTTCTCATGATATAAACTCGCAGCTTCTGTTACCGAGACAAAATAAACAAGCCTTTTTAAAGTACAAATATAGACTGTTAAACACACAACCTTTTTTTCGCATGTAAATAAAAAAAAAAGATTTTAAAAGTAGTTGTATACAGTTTTCCACAATTGATTAAATTAATTTTCTACAAATGAACTTAAGACCTAACACGGTTTTGCTATTTTGGCCTATGTCAGTCATACGTGTAAATCGAGTTGAGATATGTAGGAAATGATCTTCTAAAATTACTTTTATATAATTATGTTCAGTATAATATAAGAGTCATTATTCTTTGTAACTTATTCTGGACTCTTGGGTGTACAAGCAGTCTTACGGGTGGCAACTGGTAGTACCACTAGCTGGGCGATTATTGATTTTGAATTCGGTAAACGGCAATGTTGTTTATGTTGGCTTTGCAAAAACTTGTTTGTTTTTATTAGAACAATCATCCGTTAGCTTAACGACGGCCATTCCTTTTTGTAATTGCATAATACAACTGTACATAAGCCGACCAACGTTGAGGTAATACATTTCTCCAAAATAATCATTAAATATATAGTTGATTTCAAAATTAATGGTTTTAATTAGATCGGTTCTCCTTTTACGGCTAACTTAAATAAAAGCCTCAGTTCCCTATTAATCTGAATAATTCGTTATCGTTACCAAAATGCAATAACGCAATCAACAACATAATGAAAATACTTCTCAGATTCCTGTTGACTGTTGATCCATTCAAACGTAACGACCTGGTAATTTAATACGGTTGAAGTGTAATTTTTTCCCTTTTTATTATTATTTTCATTAAAAAAAAAAAAAATAAAATACAGGGTTTTGAGTAAACTGTATGATAAAGATTTATTTTTAGTGTAATTTTCAGACCCTGAGTTCTAAAACTACAAAAAAAAAACTGAATAAAGGAGTTATTAGTTTCTACTGTTTTTAACAGGAAGGTTTAATAATATTATTTTGGGGCTTTATTGAACAAAGAATGTTACATACAAGTTTGTAAGTACTTAGAATTATTTTAAAGTCTAAAATTGTCTAAAATTAGGTTAGGTTAGATTAAAAACATCAGTATAAACACAATATTATCTTTACAGGTATCGAAGCTAAAATATCAAATAACCATAATAATATGATATTATATTATAATCGTCTTATTTGTTTTGCTAAATTCGAATTCAATTTAATTTATAAATTCCCTTCTAACGAAGTTGTGGAGTGAAATTGAAAAAAAAAACTGTGTTACGACGAATAAACGCAGGAGTGAAAAAACACTTAACCGTGTGTTCATTTTTTTTTTTAAGACAAACCTATAAACGTTTTTGCAATATATAATTTCCCGACGTAGGACGTGGTTCGTTTACGGTGGTGTGTCCCGTTTGTGAAACTAATTAAAACCGAAACTGCGGGTAAAATTTAGGCTCTGTTCATTATTCGGTAAACGTCTGTCGGTCGGAATGCGCAGAATAATCGGCAGCAGGGACGTTGTGGATCACGTTGTCAAGACGTTGCGGGACTTTTAAACAGAAGACGCACGGGCGCTAGTCTCCGGTACTTCTGCCCGTATTGCCGCCGCTGATCCGAAAGCTTCACGAACAGGGTTCAGGTAGGTCGGTCAATTAATCGTTTGTCCACACATTACAACAACAGGTACACAGATCCATCCTCGGTCGTGTCCTACTCAATCGAGCGCGACG